GTATACAAGACGCATGTTTGTGGTTTAAAACACAATCAGCAGCCAGGCTAGCGATCTACGACGACAACAAACGAGGTGTTTTTTTTTTGTTTTTTTTTTTTCCCAAAACAAAACACCTAGTAGGAACAACAAAGGAGGGGTTGTGACAAAGGGGCTCGTTCGACACTCCTCGGGCGCCTGAAGTCCCCGAGGAATTGTTCGTTCCACTTATCCTCGGGGTTGCAGTCGGAGAAAAAAAAGTGAAAACACTCCAAAGGAAATTCCTCGGGCTCCGAGGATTCCCCAGCCATTTCTCCCTTTTGCCCAAGGGACCTCACGAGGTCCCTTGGGCAAAAGGAATCCGCTTTTCACGGAGAGGAGCGGGCACACGCGTAGAGAGACGTTACAACCGAGAATCTGGATCGTGGCAGCACCCTATTGGCTGAAGGCCTTAAGCACATTTTTTTTTTTTTTTCCTTTTTTCTTTTCTGACATGGCTCCAAGGAAACGTCCTCGGGCGACGTCCCCGAGGACAGGTGGAACGAAGGGCCCAAATTTCCTTTTGACCAGAAGGATTTTTTCCTCGGGCTCCGAGGACGCCCCAAGGAGTGTCGAACGAGCCCCAAACTGTTTCATCGGAGTGACCGACTCATCAGAGGAAAGGCCGAACCCTGAACAGTCTGCAGCAGAATCCCCTGACTGACTGATTTAAGTGATAATCCGCCTTAACCCTGGTTGTGGTTAAGCATCAACGACTGCCCGACAGCTGATATCCCAGCCCCTCGTTTGTTGTCCTCTTCTCCCTCTCTGCCTACGGTTTACCGGGCAGTTCTATTTGTGACGATATATGTATATATCGTCACAAACAGAACTGCCCGGTAAACCGTAGGCAGAGAGAGAGAAGAGATATATGTATATAATACTATATATATATGCATATATATACACATATGTAGTCAAACAGAGCTGCCCCGTAAACTGAAGGCAAAAAGGGAGTACAGTACAGCCCCGAGTTCGAACACATGAGTGAAATACTAGAATTCTAGTATTCTGAATTACCTAGGGCCAGTCAGTTCGATGATCATATCGCGAGGCCATGGCCCTTTTCAAAAAAGAAAAAGAAAATACACACACACAGTGGCACCCGGTAGGACCAACTCCCCCTTGTGAGGGTACCTGCAAAGGGCAACTAGTCCTTGGTGCAGACCAGGGGCCGAGTCCCACTAGCAGCCTAGAGTTGCCTCAACGCCTGAATCTGGACGTGTTTGTGGAGAGGTGCGGTTGAGGAAACTCAACTCAAATTTCTGCACATCTCCACGCTGCTAGTGGGACTTGCCCCCCGATTAAGGCAAACAGGGCTGACGGAGAAACAGCATAAGGCAGGCTAGCGATCTACGTAGCCTGTTAAATTGACAAGTGCTTCTGAGTCCTGACTCCTGACCCATACACAGGTAAAACAGTGCCTGTCAACCCTGTTTTTTATTATAATTAATTAATTAATTAATTATTTATTTAATTATTTATTTTATTAAACTGATCAGAACAGATACTACACTTGATCTATTTTTAGCCAAAAGGCCGAGAAAAAGGTATTCAACCCTGTTCTAACCCGAATTGCATGGCTGCTTCCCTGCCTCCTCCTCATCTTTTTTTTTTTTTTTTTTCCCTCCTCCTCTTGTGTTGGCTGCTTCTCCATTTTTTTTTTTTTTTTTTTTCTGTTGGTTACAAATTACAATTCATTCTTTTTTGAAGTTTTTTGAACTGTTTTCTTTATTCCCTTGAGCAGAAATAACAGGAGAGTGAAAGAGAGACGGACCTCCCCGCATCTGTCATTTACCACCGCGGCTCCGGTTCCTTCCACTGGTGCTGCACTGCTGAAAGCTGCTGGCTTTCGGCAATGGCTACGGCTTTCATACCACATTCTTCAATCGTCCGAGCCTTCGCTCTGATCAGCGAAGAGCATTCATCACTGCCACCGCTGAGAGATGGCGCTGTCAATCTTGCCGCGCCCTTGTTGAGATCCACAACGCCCACACCCACTCCCAAACCAGTGATGGTCTGCGGCACAACTGCGTGTCGCCCACGCTCCTCGCGCTTGTTGAATACAACCTGTCGGTTCAAGGTGCGGGGAAGCAGGGGCAGCGTGGACCTATTGAGGTCTGTAGACGGAGGCTGGGAAACCGCATGTCCACCACATTGCCGCGCGGGTGCTGGTGCCAGGAGGTTGGCGCAGCAATGCGAAGAATCGGTGCGGACGACGGCGGCAACGCGAACGACGACTGCCAAAGCGACCATGGACTTATCGCAGACTGTGACAGCAGATGGTGTGCTGACGTCTGATTCTGAATCGTCGTCTGCTCTTCGCGAAAGTGGTGTGACGTCGACCAGTGCAAGTGCGAGCGCAAGTGATGGCACCGACAGGTCAACGACCGCCGCGGGGGGAGGCTGTCCTGGCTGCGGGGCTGCGGAGATTTCGCGAGGATGCGATGGGGAGGGGCGCATTCAGGGGGGAATCGCAAACATTCCTGGTTTTCGCTGGTGGCCGATTAAAGTGTATCGCCCTTGCTCCAATTGGGAACTCTCTGGAAAGCGGTACAGGCGCAAGGGGCAAAGTCTGGACGAAGTTGCGTACGGCCTTAGCAAGTCCGAAATTCAAAAGGACAAATGAAATTATGCTGGGCACAACCCCTGCCACCATGGTGTGAAATTGTGAATACCTTTTTTTTCCCCTTTTTTTAAGGGTTGGAAAAAAGAAATCCCATGCTGAGAGAAGAATATGTACTAATAATATAGTGTAGTTAAAAAAAAAGTGAAAAAAAACAAAAGTCGAGTGAACGGTCCCCAACTTCTCACTCGCTCACAGCTTTGTTTCGTTTCTCATTTTCTGTTTCTCCACTGCTTGTCTCCGATACTCTTCTATCTATTATTCACATGTTTGACTCTTTTTGTTGACATTTCTATTTATTTGTTTGTTTGTTTGTTTGTTTGTTTGTTTGTTTCAAATTGTTTGTTTTTCTTTTGTGATTTTATTAGTGCGACACTGCGACTTGTTGTACAGAGGCCATTCCAATCTGTTGGGCCTCGGTCGCGCTTGTGCGCGTTTTTTATTTTTCATTTTTTTCATTTTTCATTTCTCGGAGTTGATCTCCACATTCTATGACCAGAAATGCGGAACACGCACTTAGTCTACTAGTGGGACGGGACTCCTGGGGGGTGGTCCCAGTAGCAAGGAGGATTGGATTGGATGCCCGAATCTGGACACGTTTGTGGAGAGGTGCAGAAAATCGGGATTGATCTGCTTTTCTGCATCTGTGCATGAAACACATCCAGATTCAGGCGCTCAATCCTTCCTCTCTTAAGTCTTGTAGTGGGACCCAACCCCTGCTCTGTCAAGCCTTCAAGTTCTCTCTCTGCATCATTCCAATCTCATGTTCGCAACCGTATCATTTATTTATTTGTAGTTAATTAAAAAAACCTGAATAGTTTTTTTATTGCAAAATTGAAAATACCCCTATAAGTTGAGATATATGCCAAAATGCCCCTGAAAAATGTGGGCAGCGCGGAATACCCGTTTGGAAATTTGGACCTGATTCTTTGCGTTTTGCCCCTGTCAGGCCCATGTGCAAATTTGCAATCTGGACCACGTCGTTGGGGTCTGGGCCTGCACCCTGTTTTACCCGATTTGCCCTCCATACGAGGTGGGCAACTTTGCGCAATAACCAGGCCCGTCGGCAGGGCAGTTTGCCTCCGTGATTCAAACTTTCAAACTCGTTCCAAGTCTCTGCC